TCTAACTGCGAAAGATTCTCTGACAACTACTACAAACATCACAACTACGGTTGCTACTGAGGCTACAACTACAACTACTACTCTTACTACTCTTACTACTACTACTACTACTACTACTACTACTACTACTACTACTACTACTACTACTACTACTAGTTCTACAGGGTCCGAGGGGCTCTTTTTGGGGAGGCCAGAAGGGTTCCACCTTACACACTCTCTACATACACCGCGCCTCAGGCCTCACGCACGCCCCGGGGGCCGGCCAAGGGAGGGGGGCCCGAGGGACCGCCTGCGGTCCACGAACGGCGGCGCCAAAGCACGGACCAGGGACGGGCCAAACAGGGCGCCCACCGAGGGGCCCCACAGCCACCTTGGGGCCGCACGCGCGGGACGGGGGCCGAGGCAGGTGTAGGCCGCTCTCTACTGGAAAATTTGCATAGCCAGGGTGGTTTGTGGGAGGGCCGAGAAAGCTATGCAATGCAGGTGCGGCCTCTTCCAAACCCCCCTCTCCCCCTCGAACTAACACTAGAGAACTACATTTATAGTTCTACAGGGTCCGAGGGGCTCTTTTTGGGGAGGCCAGAAGGGTTCCACCTTACACACTCTCTACATACACCGCGCCTCAGGCCTCACGCACGCCCCGGGGGCCGGCCAAGGGAGGGGGGCCCGAGGGACCGCCTGCGGTCCACGAACGGCGGCGCCAAAGCACGGACCAGGGACGGGCCAAACAGGGCGCCCACCGAGGGGCCCCACAGCCACCTTGGGGCCGCACGCGCGGGACGGGGGCCGAGGCAGGTGTAGGCCGCTCTCCACGTTACTCCCCCTGGCTCAGCCGTGAAACATTCTTCCAAACCCCCCTGCACGCGACCTTCGTGAGACCAGCTTTTCGGGCACGGGGCCCCAAAAAGGCCCACCACGAGGGCCTCAAGAGGCCCGCCAAGCGCCCCGCAGGGGCACGCGACCCCGAGGGAAAGGGGCCCGGGCACACAAACACAAAGAAACAGAGGAAGAGTGAAGGAGGCGTGAGGGTTGGGAAGAGGAGGACGATAGTGACATAAATGAAGAGAAGAAACATTAGAGCGAGGCAAGGATGCTCGCAAACGCAGTGCCACGCTCTCTGAGGGCGCGAACGATGTCATCAGACAGCGACTGTTGAGCGAGGACGGCGAGCCCGTCATTTATGTAAATGCGGGCGGTCCTGATGTCGTTCCAGCGCCCACGGTGCACAGTCCGCGCCATGTCGCCGTGGGCCAGCAGGTCGTGGGTGGCGCCTCCCCGCCTCAGTGAGTAGGGCAGGAGCTGCAGCGAGCTGAGGCCCAGCGCGGCGCACCCGTGGTCGAACAGCCGCCGGTACGCCACGCCCGTCCCGTCAAGGAGTCGGGCGCCAGGCATACGCCAGCTCTTGAGCGCTTCCAGCGCCCTGCCCACGATGCCATCGTCGACGGTGATGATCTCCTGAGCGCCCCGCCGCGCGCCGCTCTTGGACCACGGCAGGGCTATGACCCCGGTGCCCCTCGCACCGATGGCCACGTGCTCGAACGCCATGCTGAACATCTCACCAGTGCGCATGAGGCAGTGGAACGCCGCGATCGTCACGATGGCGGCGTCGCGGCGGCCCTGAACCCACATCCAGTGCCCCAGCGCGAGCAGCATCATGGAGTTCAGCGGCGGCGCGCGGCTGGGCATCTCGATGCGGCCCCACACGCGGAACAGGTCCCAGGCGCCTGGGAACACCCGCCTGCGGCTCAAGATGAACTGGATGCCGCTCAGCGTGTCTCCAGCGAGGTTCCTGCCTTCGCCCTCAAGCCAGAGGTGCTCCAGATATGCACAGAGCTGCTCGTCCAGCTCGTGAGGCTCCACTGCAAGCGGCCATCCAGCCTGTTGCTGGTGTCGTACAAACATGGCAGCTGCACGATGATAACGAATTCGGGTTCGGGGAACAACACGTTGAAACCGCAAGGGCCCGAGCGCACGGCGCGCCTGAGCCCGACTCGCTTGGTCTGGGTACTGCGGGAGCCGCCTAGGCATCAGCCTGCTGCCTGCGGCTTGGGGCGTCGGACGGGTTGTCACCGCTCCGACAGAACCCCAAGATGGCCACACTCCCAGAGGCCATCTCCAACGCTGCTACCTTGCGAGCCACGCGATTCAACTGTATGCTTCCCGAACGATGCTTGGCCAAGACAGCAATGGAGACCTGGCTGTCCAGCAGATGCAGAAACTTGCACTCGAGGTTCTTCTCCGCGCGCAGCCGCCACCTGAGCGCTGAGAGGAAGGCCCTCATTTCCAATTCGTTGATGTGAGCCTCCTCGCGCCAGTGGAACTGCACCACCGTGCGCCAGCGCCACCAGCCAGGAGAGATAGGCTGCCGCGGCCAGCCTGAGGGATGGAAGAGCTCACCCGTCGACATGCGGACGTCGCTGCCCTTGGTGCTGGTGGACCTCATCACGTCGAGTGCCAGTGCCTGCTCGGGGGCGAACCCGCGGGTGACGAGCGACACACTCTTCCTGGGCTTCGACCTGTCGCGCAGCTCGTCGACTGACGGCGGCGCTGCGAGGAAACCCCACTGCGTGGCCAAGTGCCCGAGTAGCCAGGCCACCACCTCGACGTGGAACGCGTTGCCGAGGAGCCCGCACCTCACGCACTCGGCCTGGCGCGGGTCACTCTTCAGCACGCTCGAGGTGACGGCCACCTGCGTGTGGCCTCTGCGGTACCCCATGAGGACCTCACGCTCCTCGGCCGACGGCGGGCGCAGCTGGCCCTCGTGCAGCACGCAGTGTCGGTCGATGTACTGGTAGGGGGGCAGGCTGAAGTCGTCGGCGGCCCACCTCGCCAGCGCCGCGTCGTCGCACTGGTTGAAGCCAGCTGGGCGCGGCCGGGGCTCGGACCGTCGGTCTCGCCCCACGGCCGTCGGCAGGCGTGCCGCAGGATCAGCACTCGCAGCCCACGTGGCACCAGGCGAGAGCCACCTCGAGGTAGGCCCTGGGTCCGCATCCAGCTTCACCTGCAGCCAGGCGCCCTGGTCGACCAGCGCGACGCCGCCCACCTCGCAGAGCTCAAAGGAGCACCAGTAGAGGCGAGGCCGCCGCATGTGGCACACCTGGCTGGCGCACAACCTGAGAGGCCGCACGCCCAAGAGCTCGGTGACTGCGGCGATGTCCCGCTTGTCCGCCGAGTCCACGTTCTCGAACAGGAACTCGCACTCCCAGGACTCGAACACTTCGACCACCAGGTCGAGGATGCGGATCACCTCGCTGATGAGCCCAGACCTGGGGTCCTGAAGGCCTTTCCTGGACACGTTGAGCCTGCTGAGGCCCTGGCAGGGGAAGCCGCCGGTGACGATCAGCTTGCGGCCCCGGGCGCACCCATGCTTGATGGTGAGCAGCACCTCCTTCGAGATCTGCTTGACATCGCCCAGCTCCTTCACGTTCGGCCACGCGTTCCTCGTGACACGCGAGGCCGTCGCGTCGGTCTCAGCCGACACGAACCACAGGGTCTCCAAACCAAGGGCCCCCCAGCTCTCCCGCGCGCCGCCGATGCCGTCGAACAGGCTCAGCAGGACAACCTCCTCCTCGCTGGCCTGCCACGGGACGCGGCCGACACGCTCCAGCGCCTCTTCGCCAGCACAGGAGAGCCCCCTGCTCACGCATACAGCCCCCCCGCTCGGGCTGGCGTCGGAGCAGGACACGACAGGCGACACGTGCAGGCGGAAGTCGGTGAAGTAGAGCGGCGCCAGCTGCATGGCCAAGAGCAGCTCGTCCATCACTGCCAACGGCACGGTCCAGCAGCGGTGCGAGCGGGACATCCACCTCCAGACCTTCTCGAAGCATGCCATGCCTGCGCGCTGGTGAGAGCAGACCCGGACCCAACGGCCCAGCACGATCTGCCAGTGCTTCTTGTTGACACCGGGGCGCCCCAGGACCCACAGGGTGAGGGAGATGAGGCTGACCACGTAGCCGCGCGGCGCCTCCTTCCTCCCCAGGTCGCCGTCGATGTAGTCGCCCAACGCCTGCACCTCGCTGGCCCTGAGCACGTCCTTGGCAGGTACGCCGGGCGTGCCGCACCGTGCATACGCCTCACGAGCCGCCAGCAAGAGCGGGCTCACGGTGCCCTTGAGCACCTTGCCGTCCTCGCGTGTGACGACCTCTTGCGCCTCCAAGTTGTCGATGTAAACTTCCCAAGCTTCCACCTCTTGAGCCAAGGCCGTGAGAGGCGCCGGGCGATCACGCCGCCACTCGGCCTCCCTCGACAGACTGGCGGACAGCTGCCACCCCTGCCGCAAGATGTTGCGGTGGATGTGCTGAGCGATGCCAGTCGCAGAGATCCACCCCATCGCCACCGTGGTGCTGGCCACGTACACGCGAGGCTCGCTCGGCCGCCCGACGAGTTGCCCTGGGACTGGGACCTCAAAGGCCATGAACTTCCTCCAACAGGGCGGCAACCTGAACACGTAGAAGAAGCACTGCCGATCCGTGGAGGTCCACAGCATCATCTCGTGAGCGAGTAGGACGATCGTGGACCACTGCGACGACAGCGGCAACTGGTCCATGTCGCCACCGACCACACGCTGCACGACGTTCGACGGGACGAGGTTCATGATGAGCCTGAGGACGTGACCCATGGTGCCGTCCTTGAGCGGGATGGCGCGCTCGGTCCCCTTGCGCACGCCGAAGGCCCCGCACAGCACGGGCCGCCCGTCCACGTGCAGCACATCCTCCAGGGCGATCGGCTCCACGAGGCCACGGTCCCAGAGGACGGCCACGAGGTCGTACCAGGTCTGCAGCGGCGCCCAGATCTTGGCGCGCGGGACGCGGGCCGGCCGCACGCCCTTCGGGAGGAGCATGGCATCCGCATCGAGCAGCGCCTCCCGGACGTTCCCCTCGCAGAGGTCCACCGCCTCCACCGAGGCCGCGATGCCTTTGGGCGGGAGCGCCGGCAGCACCTGCTCCACCGACAGCGTCTCGGCCGCGCCAATCTCCTCGCCGTCGTAGGCCACGCGCTTCTTGGCCAGCTCAGCTGCCCAGTCCGTCGGCGTGAGCGGCGTGGGGCAGCTCTTCAGGAAAAGGATGGCTGCCCGCGCCAGCCTTCTCACGGCCCTCATCTGAGCGGGGCTGGCCGGGCCTGCCAGCACACACCGCTTCTCCGACGCCGCGCAATTGGCGTACAGGTGGTTCAGCGCGATGATCATCAGGTATACCCACTGCTTGGTCGCGACCAGCTGCGGCTTGTCACCCGCACCGAATGCGACGAGCTCCTCATCACTCAACGCGAAAAAGGGGAGAGGGAGAAGGTCACGTTGCCTCCCTTCAGCCCTAGGAGTTGGCCTCCCTCCAACAGCCGTGAGCTCTCGCGCCACCTGACCAAGACGAGTGGGCAAAGTCCTGACCAACCCGAGCAAGACCTGCGGCACGAGCGTGGCGTCGCACTCCTGCACGCTCCCGGCGGCTGCAGCGACAGCACGTGCGGGCCGCAGGTCAGCAGCTGCTGCGTCCTCGCCTGCGCCCTGCCCGAGCGGGGCGGCGGCTGGCGGACCTCGCCCGAAGACGGGCGCAGCAGCAGGGGCCAGGGCGGCGGCTACCGCCCGCGGGCGCGCCCCCGGGTCTTGCCCCCGCCCTTTGCAGGCCCGCGGCCCCGCCCGCGCAGCTTCGGCGTCGGCGACCGAAGGCGCTGGACCCAGGGCGGCAGACCCTCGGTGTCCGTGTCGCCCCCCTTCAGCTGCACCTTTCTCGTGGCGCCGTTCGCCAGCAGGGCAGGAGGATCTCCAGCGGCGCTCTCCACGGCCTCGACCTCCGGTGCGAACGCGACCCGCGGGCCCGGCGCCGGCGCCGCCGGCCGCGCCCCGTTGCTGGGGCTCGGGCCGCGCCTCGGCGAGGCCGGCCGCCTCTCGGGCGACGCCCGACGCGGGGGGGCAGCTGGCGGCACGGCCTCCGCGGACCCTCGGCCCCTGCCCCGCCCGCGGCGGCGGCGGCTGCGGCGGCCCGTCGAGGCGCCAGGGCGCGCTGGCAAGCCAGCGAGGGAGCTGGGCTCGCCCAGAGGGCTGGGCGAGCGGGCAGGACGCCTCAGGGAAGGAGCGGCTCCTCGCTCCTCGCCCCCGCGGAGTCCCTAGCCCGCGCCACCTCGCCCCTGCGCCTTGGTCCGCAGGTCCGCGAGCTTCGCCCTCATGAGCGCGTGGCGCGCCGCCGCCTGGCGCTCGGTCACGCTCACCAGCCCAGGCGTCTCCTCGGTGAGCTCCAGCTGGCTCGCCACCCCCCAGTCCTTGTCGCACACGCTCGTCTCCAACGCCTTCAGCCTCTGCATCAGGAGATCCCCGAGCTCGGGGAGGCGTCCCTGCAGAAGGGCGTCGAGCGCCGCTGCGACCGTCCTCATCTCCTTCACGGCGTGCACGCTGATGGTGGACTGGGGATGCTGGCCGAAGAAGATGCTCGTGAGATAGGCCATCACCCGCGCCGTGTTCGCCCCTGTGGTCTGATCCGCCCCCTCCCGCTCGCCAAGGAAACGGGCCATCTCCGCAAGGCCGGCATCCAACAGGGCTCCGGGTTGCTCCCGAGCGATCTCGTGGATCCTGTTGTTGCCGGAGCTGGAGGGGGCATCGCGAAAAAGCGAGTCGCCGTCGCCGTCATCGTCCTCGACCAGAGGATCGGCCCTGCGCTGCCTTCTCGTCGCCACAGAGAATAGGTCCACGCGCGAGCCAGCCTTTCTCTTCAGCGCACTCTTGAGCTCCTCGATCTTGGCCACGAGCTTCCGGTCGTCACCTCCACCGCCTGCGCCAGCACCACCTGCAGCGGCAGCAGCACTCGGCGGCCCGAAGATGACCTGACGGCGCACCCACGGCTCGGAGATCCCTGACGATGTCCGCACGCGCAGCGTGTCCACGTGGTACACGAGGCGAGCACCAGCACGGGCGCTGCACGCCTCCCGCGCCCCTGAGCACAGGTGGACGAGGGGCGGCTGCGCCCACAAGTCATCCAGCATACCCGTGGCGACGGGCGATGATGCGCCTGCGAACTCGGCGAGGCCGAAGGTGCCGAGGGCGTCCGCGGCCCACTGCAGGCCCAGCTTCAAGAACGCCGAGCCGTCGCAGTGCCCCTCGGCGTTGAAGGTTGGCACCTCGACGATCGTGCCTGGCTGCACACCGACCTGCGCGAGGGCCGCTGGCTGCAAGCCCTTGCCCAGCCAGGCCGAGTCGCCTGGGGGCACCACCCCTGGGAGCCCAGCCGCAAGGCCTGGCAGCCGCACCGCCCCGCCTGCTGCGGGCGGCACCACGGCCACGCCCAGCCCCAGCGGCGGCCCTCCAGGCGGCGCTCCAGCCGCCGCGAGGCCGCCCAGCAGGTCCGCCCCGATGCCGCCACCGGCTGCTCCTCCAACGCCGGCGTGGGGTGCCGGCGCTCCGCCAGCTGCACCTGCAGCGCCTTGCTGCAGCCCGGCCAGCGCCGCCTGGATGCCTGCGTCAGTGAGCCGCACGTTGAGGCCGCGCGCGAGCTGCGCCAGGCCTCCAGCAACCTC